CCCCAAAACCCCAAAACCCCAAAACCCCAAAACCCCGAATAAAATATTTTAAATTGAAAATGTCGTTCCTCTTTCCAACTGCGACCGATTACAAGGACGATGTGCTGAACCGGCTGTATAGGATTCGGAATATAAATAAAACTCTTGGTAAGCAATTAAGTGCAGGTATTAAACCCAATTTTTATAGATAAATATAAGAATAAAGCAGATAACAGAGATATCAAAATCTTGATTTCACAAAATATGGAAGCCTTAAAAAGAGCTAAAAAGGTATCAAGATTCTTTTAACACAAAAGGAAGTATGAATATAATTTATGATCCATTCAATAATGCAAATCAGACTCACAAACCTTTATTATCAAAGGCTCGCAAATTGTATTTTTCCTTAATCATTAATAGAAAGCGTAAGAAGCTTGCAAAGCAAAATCTATTTCTCCAACAAAAGGGGAAAATAGCAATAAAATAACCAGAACCGTGATATTCTTCTTGGGAAGCTTGAGACACTTCTACCAAACAAGACTGGAAAGCAGGGTAGGACAGGGGGAATTTCTATCAAAACTTTCTTAACATACTATAGTAAAGGTAAACCCAAATCTGTTCAATCCTTTCTCTCCAATACTGCCGTCCCCATTTGCCCAAAAAGAGAAGGACAATAGTTATTGCACAAATCTTTACAAGAAGATAGAACATTATACAGGCGCTAAAAGAAGCTCATTCAAAAGGTCTAAGATGAATGATAATTCCATCCCAAGAGACAGGACGAGGCTGTTTTCTCCGCTTGTGAAACCTGATCGGACTCTCGACATAGTAAATCATCAGAGGAACAATGCCAGGAGGTTGCTTCAGAATAAAAGTTTACCAAGAGGGAATAAAATTAACGAATCTACATATTCCTTGTCAAATGGCCGAGTTCTAAACCCTGTGCAAGCAATAGTCCAAAGAGCAATAAGCAATTATTCACCAAGCAATTTTTCAGATGTTAAAGTTCAAAATTTAGATTATACTATACAGAGAAGTAGAATGCAGCCTAATCTGAAGATCAAGTCATCCTCTCCTAAAAGAGATGCTGATCCAAAATTGAGTGAGAGTTCTTCTATTGCTCATCCTCATAATCTTGACCATAAATTCTCAGAAATCGAGATATCTATTTTTAACAACAAAGCTAAATAAGAAAAAATTAAAGCAAAATCTTCATAAATGTAAAGAAAATGCTAGGAAGAATAACAACAGCCAACTTAGGAAATCCAGAAATATTTCTAATCCAAAAGCAAGGAATATTGTCTTTTCAATCAATAAAGGGTCAAAACAAATTACTCAAAGGAAAGAGGAGAAAGATAAGTTACATGGAGAGAGGTAGGGAAAGGTTTATCCTTAGTGAGATTGACAGGAGCCAGGTTGATAAAGATAAGATAGACCCCATCAAGATAAATTTATCAATTTCCCATCTTGCCACACAATTCCCAAAGAAAAAGCAAATAAAGAATTTATACTTCAGAAAGAAGCTGAAACGCAGATCAAAATCCCGTTCCAAGTCAAAAATCCGGCCCAAAACTGCGTAAATTTCCTTCTAAACATAGCTATCGCGAGATTTCACTAGAAACAAACTCCCCACCACCCAACCCTCCACACCACTAACCACCACCCCAAAAATAACCTCAAATCTCTCCATCCTCAATCTCTACCCACAAATTCGGGGTTTTGGGGTTTTGGGGTTTTGGGGTTTTGGGGTTTTGGGGTTTTGGGG